TTATAAATAAAAAAAATTACAGAATATTTTCTCGTTTTTTTTGAAGTTGCAACTAAAAGATGAACTAGTAGAATAAAGCCAATACAAAAAAAAACTAGTAGAATAAAATCGTTTGATAACGAACCCTTCAGAAAACAACATTTTATGAAGAACGACATCACGATTAATATTTATTTATTATTATTATTACTTTAAGGAGTCTCTTTTAAAAAAGTTTTACAAATCATAAAACTAGATCTTTAGAACGAAAAACTTATATGGTTCTCAACCAATCATAATGCAAGCATAAAATGAACAAGTCGGATTTTCAGGCGAAAAGTTTCAAACTAGTATAATGGATACTGCCAAAATTTTATAAGTTTAATCATTATATAATCAGAAAAGATCAAGTTTTTTAAAATTTTATAGGAAATATTATGAAAAGCATGAAACTAAGTAAAATGGATTCTAATTAGAATTATGTTACAAGTTTATTAAAATTAAATAATCAATAAAAAAATAAATATCTCGAAACGTTTAATTATTTTATATAACAAAGATTGCAAGAAAATTAAACATATAATTAATATGTAAATTTAGTTCTCTAATCGTGTTAAATAACTTTAAATATTTCAAGAAATATTTTCACACGCTAAAATTGTTTAGATTAAATTCGTAGGCTTGTTTCACATTTTACAAAATAAACAAATCGAAAAAATTGCTGTGAAAACATATTTAGTATACAATATTTTAGTCATTTTCGTTATATGATATACGAGAAAAAACAAATATTAATGACAAAAAGTTGGCAGTATTTTTGTTTATTTTATAAATATTAAAATGTAAGTAATAAAAATACTTAGTAAAAATTATTGAATGGAGGTAAAATGCATTTTAAAAAACATTGAAATTCTGTCTTTAAATAAATATGATTTTAAAAAACACACAAAATTAATCAAAATTTTAATTGTGATGAAAAACATCTCCTTATACAATGTTTTGTAATTTCCATGCATGTAATATATGTGAAAAAAATCAAATTTTAACTTAATAGACTCGCCAAGATTTTTTTTTAATTGTATGAATATTAAAATGGAAGTAATAAAGTAGATTTTGAAATACTGCTTTTATAATAAATATCATAATAATGAATTTTAAAAAATCAATAGTTTCATCCCTATTGCACTTATACAATGTCTTAGTTATTCAAGTTACTTGGTATAAGAGGAAGAGTAAGTTTTAATTATATAGAGATACCAGAATTTTTCCCAAAATTATGAATTGAAAGTGAAGAAATAAAGTAGATTTTAAATATAATATAATAACAATGTTTCTTAAATAAAAACAATGTAAAAAAAAACAATTACGATTAAAAACATACTCCTTATACAATTATGTCTAATTTAAATCATTCGAGTAGCCAAAATTTTTTTTTGTGAAAATTACAATTGAAGAGAATAAAGCAAAATTTCAAACTGTTTTGCAAGATATAAAAAACTAATATATATTACGAAAAATCATTTTGCAGAATATTTAGCACGCCTACAAGAATTATTTACTGCAATAATCTTAATTTTAGTTCCAGTATTTATTCTTCGGTACAAAATGTAGTTTGATCTATGAATTATTGTGACTATTAAAATTATACGACTTGGTCCTTAATATGATTTGTTTGGTATTTCTTTGGTAGAGTTACAAAATCTATTATTGTACTGCATTGATATATTGCTGAAAGATTGTCATATTGAAAAAATAATCCGAGAAAAATACACAATTAAAATATAAATACACTATCGATCGATTTACTATTAACTGATGCCCGAATCGTAATGTATCTGAAAAATACATATTGACACAAATTAAAATTTTTATTACAGAAATTATAAGTAGCATAGTATATATTATGATTATCATCATACATTACGATGCATCTTGCAATTTTCTTAATATTTTTCCAGATATAGAATTTATCCTACAACTACATCCCAATCCTCTCCAACTTATCATACATTAATAAAAATTTCATCTAAAAATGTAACAACGGACTTAACCACAATTTATTATTAACAAATAGTGCAACTTAGAGATAATTATTAACTAATAATTTTTTATTAGTTATAAATTTAATATATGGGTGCGTGTGTATTTTTTTATTATATACCGTATACGCAATATTGGCTCAAGTTTATATATCGTACTAAAACGTATACGACATATAACCACATCAAAGACAGCCCTCATTTCAAAGCAGAATTTGCTTGCCTTCTATTGAAATTTATTCAGAGATAAAGGAAGAATATATTAATAATATTATACGAAGCCAATAAAGGCTTTGATTGTAGATTAAAATTGGTATTAGTATCCTTGTGATAGATTAATTACATGTTATATTAATTTAGATATTGCTACTATTTTTTTTCTATTTGATTTAGGTCTGAAAAGTATAAATTGATACTGATTTGAAAATTTATAGAGTCGCACTATAGATAGTTAGAATTTAGTTTAATTAACAAAGAATACAGACTTTGAAGCAAATAAACTATAGGAAACCAATTTAAACCTGTTGCTTTCATTTTCTAATATTAAAAGTCTACATATTTTTTCAATAAGTTTTTTTTCAATGAGTAAGATATTTGAGGTTTGTAAGAGATTTGACGTTGATATTTAAAATCCAATGAAAAACACAAAATATTTAATCAAAAATAAGTATTAGTATTTTAAATTTAAAAGACGTTTTGGAACATGGAAAAAAATGTCAGTCAAAAGTATGAAAAATACTTCATAAATTACTGAAAGAAATTTATTCGTTATGTCAAAAAAAAGTTTACCATAAAATCAATTAATTGAATCAATTCAGGATTTTTTATGAATTAGAATCTTATTTTGTGTAATTGATTTAGATTTGAAAATACTTTACGAAAAATAGCAACAATTAACATGCAATTATCAAGTTTCCACTAAAAATGTAAAATTATTCACGAATTTTTCTCTATTTGGAATTGAATTTGTACAAAATAGAAGATCTATATTGCTATTAAATTAATTCACATCCCATTTCTATATTTGATAAATATTAATTAATGTACTTATTGAGGTACAAAAAATTAAGGCTTTTAAATATTAAGTTTTTGAGTTTTCTCTGTCAAAAATGAATTTAAAATTTCAAAATTTACGAATTACGCATATGTAAAAAGAGCTATTTATGTATTTCTATTTTAGGACTTTTTTCAAATTTGCTAAATTTGGTTTCATAATATTTTAATGAAAACTCTCGATTATTTTTGAGTTTGATTCCAAAGAAGATTCGTTATTAGAAAATGTATGAAACATTAGATATACACAATATGTGTCTATAAAATGTCTACTATAAATAACATGAATAATTAACTAATTTATAAAAAATCTACATTTATCTCGTAAACGCAACAGCCAAAAATAATTGAAGAAAAGTCTCGAAGTTGCTTTTTCTGATATAGTATTAAATAGTAGCAAGATCATAATTAATACAAATTTTAAATTTAATTAAACCTCACTGTTATTTAACAAATTAGAATTGCATGTTTCGCTTTATTTGCATTAATTTTATATTTTGCAAACTTTTAGAATAAATCCAACGAAGAAGGCAAGCACTGCAAGGAAGAACTATTAAAGTAATTTTAGTTAAGTAGAAATAAATTTCCACCTTATCCCTCAACATGCATGTAAAACGATATTTTTAATTTAAAATTCACATTATTAACAGAATTTGCATGATAATGATTAAACAATTACATACAAACTTTGTTATTAGTTTTTTTTATAATATCAATAGCATTAAAATGCTAATACCTTACATAAGCACCAAAATCTAAATTTATCAAATTGTCGCTTAACGTAAATAGCTGTTTTTATTCGTCAGTTTTTTTTGTTATCATTTTAAAATTTATGACATTCAAATCTATCTTAAGCAAGATTGCAAATTTCTGCTATAATTCCAAAAAGATCTAGATTATCAAACATTTTCCAGAATAATGCTTTCCTTAAAATAAATTATTATCTTGTCACAAATTTCATACCGGTACAATTAGAGTCAATATTTAATACCACAAATTTTTAATAAAAAAATGAAATTTATAAAATAGCACAAACGTACTAATTTTCCACATAGAAACCGCTTCGGTTCAAAATTTTACGCCATCGATTTTAAAATTTAGTTTAGATATGTGTTTTGTATTTTATGTATAATATAAATATGAGTACATGTATATTATAATATCAAAATTTATTTATATTATTTTATATAATATTTTCCTTAATTATAATTACGTTTACTATACATAATTATAATAATATGTCATATCAAATATAATTCGGTGTTAGTCATATTATAAGTCTTATATTTTTTGTCAGTTGAATTACGCTTTACCTAGTAAAAACTTGTGATATTAAGGCGCATTTACTAATATTTTTAAATTAATACGATGATAAATATCTTGGAAGAAATTTGATGTCAAAAAAGCTAATTTGCCTAGATTGAAAATTTGCGCAGTTTTTCTATATAATATGATAATTTAGTTTAAATTTTCTATAATGAAACAAGTTTCGGGTAAATAAATTATATCCGACTTGTCGATGTTATTTATACCTGTTTCATAATTTTAATATGCAAATAAAAATATTTGTCAAATATTATAAAAATTTCTGCATTTAAGTAAATGATGCCATTCGAACCGATCGATGATGATGATAAAACGATTTATTCTAATTGTCTAAAAATTTTGTTTATGATGGAGTCAATTAAAAGAGTCTGTCCAGAAGAGAGTAGAAAAGTTGTAAATATATGACATTAGTATTATATAAAAATAGCCATAGAAAATAGATTAAGTTTGAAAATGAGATCACCTAACACAACAAATGCTGAATAATTTAAATTTATATTAATATCATTTATCCATTCTATTAGGTGATCTCTGGTTAGAGGTAAGAATGGTTCCGCAAAGTTGTACCCAAACAAGACAAAGCAACCATCACCAAAAAGTATTTTAAAAATCGCTCACTTCAGCATCAGTCTCAGGATTCGCGCAGGTAAATGGATTCCTCAGCCAGCTACAAAAAGATTTATTATCACCTTGGTATTTACATTTCACTTTGGTATTTTTCGGAGTTTTATGGTAACTCATATTTGCGTTGACCACACTACTAGAAGCCACACTGTCGTAACCGCTTTCCGCTCTTCTGGAAATACCGGAATGTTTAGAAGCCCTTGGAGTAGACTCGTGACCACTGTCATACAGTTCTTGTTGCTGGACTGGTACTATGATGGCAGACGAAGAGCAAATGACATCTGGAGCATCTACTGATACCAAGCTCACAATTGGCAGTGATAAGTCTTCATTTATATTAGGATCAGATGCGCCGTCTGGTTGTCTAAGATTGCACAGTTCATTTGCCATATTTAGATCAATCACTAGATCTGGTTTGGATTCTGATTTTCCGTACATTCTGTATGCAGGTTCGCTGTAAACACTGCCGTTGCCGTCAGCTCTTCTATATACTGGTTCACTATAAACACTGCTGGCTCCATAATGTGGAGTAACTTCAGCCATTGCCAGTTGGGACTGGAAAAGTTCTCGTAATTTGGCTAGTTGATCAAAATGCCTTCTAGAATTTTCATCTATATCACACTCGCTGAAGGTATCATAAATACCATTGAAACTAGACACAGCTGTGACATCACTAAAACTCAAAGCACTCAAAGGATGATCTTTTACCGACATACATCTTGCAATGTCATCTTCAGTCACTTGCAAACAAGAGTCTTGCGTGTTGCAAACATTCAAACTATCTGTAGATAAAGGCCTGATTAGTTCCAACGCAGGAGGAATTTCTGAAGGTCCTTCCTCACTACTATCTTCCTCATCAACTTGCTCATTGATAGCATCACTTGGTTTCATCTCGCGAAGACCAGTTTTCACAACACTTTCTTCAATTTTTGTTTTCTTCTCCGTAACTTCAATTTCTAACATCTCTTCATGATTTGCAATAGGTAGACTAGTTGGGGTAGGTAAATATGATCTAGTAGGCGTACGTTTACTCTGCAATTGTGAAGTCGAATTTTGGACCCATTGTCGTATCATGGATTTTTTGTGGCTGTCCATAAAACCATAACCGCCAGTTGAATGCGTTACTGGCAGTTTAATCGCTGGACCGTCTATCCAAGTTTCGTGTTGTTTGATCTGGTCGGAGTGTAATTTCATCATGCACCTGGGTAAAGGATATATTGAAAATAAAAGTTTAAAATATATTGTACCACATGAAATACAAACCTAGCTTCAGCAACTTTTGATTTGGACACCCTCGGCCCATCGATCCACTGTTCTTCGCTACCTTTATGACTACTTCTTGCAGGACTACTTAAAACTTGTTCTTTTTGGACATTCTTTTTGGCGGGTGAAGATTTTGCAGGTGACGAAGTCACTTTCTTATGTGTAGGCGGTAACCTGTTTTAATATAAATAATCTTTATTTTGATTTCTTAAACTTGTGGGTAAATTCCAAACACAACGTACCTAGATAATTTTATTTCTGCACCAGATCCTCGCAAAGCCTTTCCCATAGCGCATCTATTATCTCCTGAATTGATACCAGGTAAATATACAGGTGGATGTTCTCCATCAGTAGCTTCATCAACAGGTCCTAAATAAATCACAGTATCTGCAGACAAATCGCTGCTTGATGGATCAGGTTCACTTTGCTGTTTGTGATCGTCAGACGTTGTGCAATTGACTTGTTTTAAAACACGCCTCCTAAATAACACATTGATCAAACATATTGTAGCAATTGATAGTATGATGTTTATATTTTACAAATGTAAATAGCATATCACCTCCTCATCCTATGAACCCTTGAAGCAATCTGGACAGTAGTCAGAGCGTCACTGTGACACTGAGAATGTGCCACGTGAGCCAGAACCGTCACTCTGCAAGATAAGGGTTGTAGACAATCCCTTAGCAGAGGTGTCAGAGGATGATCTCTGTGAGGTGGATGACGTTGGCCACTCAAAACAGCCAGAAGTACATTGCTCAGCCCTGATAAGGGCAGACGAGACCCGCGACCTGCGCAGGATCCGAGGTCTATCAAGTGTAGGCGACTTCTACCACCAGCAACTGGGAAAAGAAATAAGAAAAAAATTATAGAGAGTTAATATAATATAAATTTATGTTTTATTGTATTACTTATTTTTTTTTTAGAAAATCACAGGTTGTAGGGTAGTATCATATATAGGTTGTACACAATATTGTGCTTAAAACTTTCACTGGCGTTAGCAGTAATTATAAACAATAAGTAATACTTGTAAATTTTTATTGCTTTTTTATTTTTGCAAACTTTTCCATTCCATCAAGAGATCCATTCACATCAATGCTTTCAATTTCATTTATACATTTCTACATTTAACGTAAAGCTGTAAATCCAGCCATTCGCATGAAAAGTGTCATTCTTAACCTTACAACTTATTGAATGTCGTAAAGATTCGGTTTTAAAAATTCGGAAACCTAAAAATCAATGAATAAAACAACAAAAGCTATAAAACACAACTGACCACCTCTATTATTGGTAAAACTGTAAGTGTGCAGGGTGCATAATAAATAGATTTGGTCACATATAGAATGAAATCAGAACCAATATATAGATTGTATTAAAATATACAATAGAGAAGTAATAGATAAATATATACAATTAGTACAAAAAAGGAACACATTTGTTAATATTTTTGATCAGGTTATTGCTACAAATAAGAATTTAACAGTGGAGTTATGTAAAAAAATATTTCACAAATGGTTTTCAATCACTTGACTTTATTTAATGATTTGGATCTGTCTTAGATAAAAATATATAGTTAATATTGTTCATTTCTTCTATGCTCATCAAAAAGTTCTAATTTAAATATTTTGCTGAAGATTCTTTGAACTAATACTAATAGTAATACTGTACTGATAATGTTTTGGTACAATTTAGGCAATCTGTAATCGCAAAAATCATTATGGTTAATGAATGAGTTATAGAAGTCAAATTTCAAAACAATTCAAACAAGTTTTTTGCTCCAATAAAACAATAAATCCAAAGCCCTCATTCTTTAAACAAATCTTTAATTAACAAATTTTATTAAGACAATTAATTAATCCTAGTATGCATTTCTAATTGACAATTATTAAACTGACCTCCTCCTTTTCCAGCAAGACTATACTGATACACGTGCAGGGTAAAAAGCAGGGCAGGATCTTGGCCCGAACTTTGCTGATTTTGTTGTTGATGTTGTGATCTGCTGGCTAAAGCAGCGTCCAAAAAAAGAGCAGCCCTTTCAGCAGTCGGAGCTCGAAGTTCCGTTGGACCTCCCAATAATTCTTCTCGTAAATATACACCGGGAGATTCGTCAGATTCTGTAAAAAATAAAAAATATATACTTGAAATTTTAAAGCACTCATAAGAGTTGGTTGAATTAGTTATCAAAATAAATAATTTTACGAAAAAAATAATAGATAAAGAAAAAATCGACAAATTAAACTGCGTCTCTATCCTGTGATTCATAAATAACAAAGTAACCTTTATCCAATAGCCCCTTTCTTATTTATTATAGATCGCTTCAACATGGCAGCACGTATTATGTATTTTGAATATATCTCTAGGATATACGTCAGGGATAATTGACATATTTCATTTTAATATGAAGTTATATCAGCAAGTCCCATTGAGAGCAGTATCGATTCTCCATACATTTGGATTAGGAGAGCAGCGCGGGCTTCAAGTCGGATTATGGAATTTATCATGATAGCCACTGCCACTTGTCTAATCCACTCAATTAATATATACTAAATCCATAATAAATCAAAAAGCCCGCTGTGGACAGAGTCGCAGTGTAAAAACTAGAAGAAAGATTGGAGGAGGGCAAAATTTGGCTTATATCATTTTTAGTAAATTATTAAAATTATTAGATACAAAAATGAGTTTCAATTGTTTCGTTCAAATTTTAACTTATAACCAGTGGTTTAGAATAATAAATAACTATTAGTAGATATCGTCTACTAATCTGTTACCCTGGTTATCGAATTAATTCCTGCATCAATTACCCCGTCGCCTCCAGCGCAATTAAAAATGTAACAAGTACTTTTTACTCTCGCACAGATTAGTAGAAAGTTTGTTTGTAAATCAGCAGTATTTTATTTATTCGAGGGCGCTTTAGATTTAAACTCGCAAAGCCCTTTTTAAAGCCGGGAGCACTTAAAAACTTTCTCTTTCGGTTTTTAAAATAAATCCGAATCCGCCCGACGAGGCGGCGGTGTTGACGTGCCCTCGCCAAATGCGTGCGAGTCGATGATTAAGTGATATTCTAATGAAATATCGCACCAAAACACAAACCCGGGTTAGGAAGATAGCCGGAAGGAATTTGGTAAATGATAAAATATTGATATATGTTATTCTTTACATGTAGTATATAGAAACTGACAAATCAAATAAATATAGCGAACTTACATACGATTTTAAGTGAAAGCTTCTCTGGGCACTGCTGCAACGAATTTAACCCTTTATGGTCCAAATTTTTGTTTTGTAAGAAAATTAAACATAATCACAAAAATCACTAATTATAAGCCTATAATTATATGCAAATGGTAAATCAAAAAATTATTATTAAAAAATGTTTTGGCAAGTAACAGAGACCTATAATTGTCGCACTTTTGCGTATGAAAATTTTATTTCAGGCTAGCGATGTTTGTCTTGGAAACTTTATAAAGTTCAGATCTATTTGTCATTCACGAAAAAATACATGATTATTTAGTAAAATGTCTAAACAAATGGAATATGACATAAAAGTTGTGCAGGTATAATAATTAAATTCAAACTTAACTAGTTGTGGCAAATTAAGGCAAATTGTTGGAACTTTCCGTACCGAAATGAAAAATTCGAGAAATATTAAATATTTTCAAATATATTATTAAAAACACTACCTCATTTATGTTTACAGAAAACTAAATGAACAAAATTTAATCAATCGAATTGAAAATAAAGGACATTGTCTAATATTAATAAAAATTATATAAACGGAATTGCAAAGTTAAAATTATTTATTTAAAGTATATTAGTAAACTTTAGAAATTAAAATTCGTTTTATTTTCGACATTCAAAAGAAACTTTTTTCCCAAAAACAATCGTTACGTCAACACTAGCAGTCGTCACAAAGTTTTTTGGATCATTCAAATCGGATGCTTAGTTCTATCAAAAACTATCATTTTTTGCCCATTTAGCTCGGTATCTCTAAAACAGCTGCTTAATTAAGGTATCTCTAAAACAGCCTATGCCAAAAACTAATCACTACTTCCCCTCGTCACAGCGAATTGAATGTTTTTTGGATAATCCAAATCGGATGCTCATTTCTCTCAAAAACTTGATTTCTTTTTTCTGCACTCTTTGCTCCGTATCTCCGAAACGAATGGACCTGCCTTTGCCAAAAACTAATCAGCTCAATCAAATCAAATCAATAGGAATCGAATGTTTTTTGAACCATTCAAATCGGTGGATCCGTGCGCCCGAAAAAGTGGACGAAAAATTGTATCCAAACATACATACATAAACACACACACTCACACACACACTGGTATATCAAAATTTTCGGGAACTTTCAAAACGTGAAAAAATGCAAAAATTTTGAATTTTGATTTTAAGTTACCTTAAGGAAAGTTAAAAATGAAAAAAACCTATTAGTTGCCTTCCAATATAGCGTCCGTAATAGTTTATAAATCACCTAGTTAATGCTATTGAAAATGTTAAAATAAAATAATGTATATTTTAGTATTATTTATAATTTTTAGGTTATGAAATGCCTTATTGTTTAAGTAATTGAATCAAGAAGAAATAATTACTTCTAATTTTACTAACGCAACTAAGACTTAATACGCCTGATTGACATAGAACGTGTTTACAAAAGTTTCAGATTATTTTATACTAGATATAACTTGTATAAATTATATTTGGAATATTATTTAAGTTATCGAAACTTATATTTGGAATATTATAAGTTTATCGAAAATGTTTTTAATTATTGCGAGTGGGCACAAACGTCCGAGTCGAGCTCTTGACGAGTATATTCGTCAACCACAGAATAAATTGGCGGTTTATTTTATAAAATTAAAAAATGCTATTACTACATTTCACTTCTTTATAAGCATATAATACATTCGTATTAAAATAAAAACGGATTTATGTAGATGAAATATTGCACATCTATGTGTAAGAAAGTAAGAATACTTTTTGATGAAAAGCAAAAGCTAATTTTGAATATAAATAATAGGAAATGTTATTTAAATAGCTAAATCTCAAATCTTATTATTTGTATATATTTTCCATATTTCAGAAACGTTATGCAACTCGCCTTTAGGTAAAATGCCACTTACAACTACTTATTTTATACAATCAAAATATTCTGAGCAATTTAAAATTTGCGAATATATCTAAAGCGGCTTTCAAAATATGGTTTTCAAAAATTGTAATTCAAATAGCAAATTGTCACTCTTTATACTCATGACACTTGTCCATATATTTGCCAATACACAAAATTCATGACACTTGTCCATGACGCGTATATTCGTCAATCACAGTTAACTCGATAATTGATATCTGTTTTTAATTAATCTATTGTTTATCAGATTTGTGTTTTAGTTAGATGTGTCGTATAAAAAAAAATCAGGCAATATCTAAACCCCCCTAATCATATATTTTAATCATTTGCGTTTTTATTCTAATACAGTAATGAAATCCAGAAAATGTGTAAATTATTTTCTAACCCCCTTTCTAAATTCTGTTACTTCATGCCCTCAGATGCGAAACTTACAAGGGCTGTACAACAGTTACAAATGTTACTTCGGAATTATCAGCAATAAATCAACTGCAAGAGACGATTTTTTACTTATAAGACAAATAATACAAAGTTATTGCTTCGTACTTGGCTGGCAGCAGGCTCTGTACAACCCCTGGTACCTATATTGATTAATTATTTGTAAAATTGAAGTTGAAAATATAATTTATGAGTGGATTGTAATATTACATGAGTATAATCATGATACTGCCCTTGCTTTTATAAAAAAAACTGTTGGATCTAATCTTACTATTTTTTTTTAATTTCATTATTTGTTACCACTGCCAAATAATATAACATCTAGTAACATAAGTGAATAATATAAATAAAATATAGGACACAATTAAGGATAGTATTTTCATTTAAATGATACCTTACTAATAATAGTAAATAATGATGGATAGTACTGCTCTAGGACAGGTCCGTGAGCTTAGTTGAACTTCAACTCGATTCGAGGAAGAATAGTGTGAGAGATTTACCATTGCCAGTTCACATCGTAGTGCGCTATTTTCAATTGGAATATTTTTAAACTAAAATGGACATGGTACTGTACGATGTCAGGTTGTCCAGGGAAGGGTTCGAAATTCTGGTAATAGTTAACTTTCATGTATCTATGGTTAATATAGCTCGTCTTAAGATGCAATGCCATACACCACTAATTTTAATTTTCCAAACCGGATATTTGGATTGGTTCTCTACTTAATATATTTCTCTATAATTTACCCATTCCATTACCCTTCGACTGTGGCTTATCGCCCCTGACTCTGGCAATTTGGCATGCATCAGTCACTTTTACAGCGTCCCTTGTTACCGCCTGATTGCCAGTCAAGAAAACGTCTGTACTGTTATATTAAATAGATGGCGATAATCCTCGAGAGATTGGCAAGTTACTCCTGCAGGATGTGGAGCAGGATGGTGTGTGTAAGTTGTACGAGGTGTATGGCGTATGCATATTCTTTTAAGGACGAGAGTCAAAAGTTAGATCCTTAAACTGGTGTAAATCGAAGGGTGAACTGAAACCGATGAAAATGGCGGTGTGGATTTTTGGGTAATTGACATGTTTTAAATTGAGGATGATATTTAAATTGTCCCTTGACAGGTTAGATTTATATGTGGATTTCAATTGTGGAATCTGAGATGGTAGGATTCGTGGTTTTATTTGGTGGATTATTTGAATTAACAATCAGATTTATTGCTAGTGGATATAATTATATTACTAAATTTTATATGTTATGATGTCATTTGTAATAAAATATGTACTTTAAAGTTCAAATATCGCGCCACTACTGTGAGTGTCGTTTTTTCCCACCATAACCATGTATCCGCCATTTTGAATTCTTGTTAATGTAAAAATATGTAAAATAAACTCTCTTACCATGAAGATGGCAAATCAAGCAATATTTAAAATAAATTAGTATATTTTGAACAAAGCATTTTATTTTTACCAGCAAGTTTGGAACTTCAAAGTCGAACATGAAAATCTAAAGTTATACTAGGAGTTCTTTATTTATCTGATATTCAAGAAATAAAATG